CTGCGCGACAGGGCCCAAGCATCCCCTTAAACTCCACCTTCAGCTAAAGACAAAAGATGTTGGGGGTGGGGAGTGGGTTATGGGAAGTTACCAGAAAAGCACAGTAAACAAGGGCAAAACTGTTAGGCTGATTTAAGTCCTTGCCTTCTCCACTGATCAGAACTTCTAGAGATCTGGTCATCCCTCTCTTCCTGGTACGGCCAGGAAGACACCCTCACAAATGGGGATTTCCCTTATATAGAGAAACCTCTCTTGGGGGCGGGGAACCTCAGTTTTCAGAGTTTATCCTTAGTTTGACAATACCCTGGTCTCCAAATTATATTTATCTAGACCAGGGCTATCCAACAGAAGTTTAATGTCCTCTACCGAAGTAATTCTAAAATTTCTAGAAACCATATTGGGTAAAAAGAAACAAGTGAAATTATTTTTAGTATTGATACAAGCCAACCTATCCGAAATATTCAACATGCGATCAATATAAATTATTGAGATATTTGACATTCTTCTGTACTAGGTCTTTGACATATCTCATAGTTAGCATATATCTCAATTCAGAGGAGGGGACATTTTAAGTGCTCAGTAGCTTGGCTAGGGACTACCTTTTCAGACCACACAAATCTACTTTCCACCAGAATTCCCAATATTTTCAAGTATGAAGACCTCTCAAAATGTTTAAAGGATAACCACAGTATAGTTTGACACTTCTTAAAGATTTATTTATTTCAGAGAAAGAGTGTGGGAGGAGGGGACAGAGGGAGAAGGAGAGAGAATGTCCAGCAGACTCCACACTGAGTGCAGAGCCCAACCTGGGGCTCCATCCCAGGATGCTGAGATCCAGAACTGAGCCAAAATCAAGAGTCAGTTGCTTAACTGACTGAGTCACCCAGGTGCCTCTATAGTTCGGCACTTTTAATATCCACTGACTGATACATCACTGAAAAAGTTCTTACAAATACATTTAACAATGCTTTTCCATGTATGTTTCTTTTGCACATGGGTGTCAACTGTTAAGAAACAAAATTCACCAAGTAAATCAAGATGTAACTGGCTTCATTAAAGGGTTCCTGAAATGGGCAGCATCCCTTCTAGCACATGGAGGGGAGCTCTAGGAGCTGTACAAAACAGAAGGTTTTGTAGGAAGGAGGATGGGGAAGAAAGTTATTGGCAAAAGAAAAGGAGTGTTCACGTGGGGGAAGCTGGGGGTCTATGAAGACGGCCTCATCTTCCTGTGGGGGAGGGGATAGAGAGGACCCACGATGCTGACTCAGTGGTCCTGACTGGCTGGTAAAGATAGCTCCTGGGGGGCTGAAACTGTGGTTTCGTTACATATTATGCCCTGGTGTGGTTTCCTCCCTAACACTCTCTTTATCTGGAGAACGGTGCAACAGGGCATGGTGGTACTTCCCACCATATCACGTTACGTACGACATGCTATCGTGCTATTTGCTCAAGCTACTGTGGATTGGACTTTGACCCAGCGAACTACACTGATCGCTCTTTTCAGGCATGACCTAAGCTCTGTCGTCAACACAAACCGACCAGATGACCCCTTTCTGAGGGCTCCTTGCAGAAGGGGCTCTGATGTCCTGCCCGCAGAATGACCACTAAACTAAAGGGTCCCAAAGTCGCCCAGGTCTTCTCCTGCCTTTCACTCACCAGCTGGGAGACCTCAGGAGACACACTTAGACTCTCTTAAGCTCAGTTTGTGTGTCTTTATGAAACAAGAGCAGTGGGGTCTTTGGGGGGGCTCGGTCTTGGCTGAGTGACTGACTCGGATTCAGCTCAGGTCCTGATCTCGGAGTGGGGAGATCCAGCCCCGCATCCAGCTCTGCTCAGCGTGGAGTCAGCTTGGACGTTCTCTCTCTCTCCCGCTTCCCTGTACTTGGGTGTTTGCACTCTCCCTTTTTCTCAAATAAATAAATCTTAAACAAAACAAGCAGTATCTACTTGATAACTTCGTGTGAGCATTCCAAGCACCTGACGCGTTAACTCACTGAATGCTCAGCAGGGTTCCTTGAGATGCTGTTATACCATCTGCATCCCACGCAGACACACACAGAAGCACGGACATGCTAAGTATGTAGCCCAGGGTCACACAGGGTCACTCAGCAGTGATTTGAACCCAGAGCCTGCAGGGTCAGTCCCTGGGCTACACGGCCTTTCTAAAATTGCAGTGCGTCTCCAGTAAGTAACGTGTGTAGCTACTGAGGATGCGCGAGTCCTGTAAATGTCTGTCTGTTACCACTGCTATTGCCAGGACTCTTAACGCCCGTGTTGGGGTGTTCTGGGAAGGCTCTTTCCAAGTTGAAATGCCTTGCTTCCTCATTCAGAACAGAGCTCTACATCCCAACCTGCACATCAATCTTTATCTGGGTTGAGCTTTCCTCTCTAAAAATTCCTTTCGATCTCCAAAGGAGTGCAGTATTTGGCCCATGGCTCTGAATCTGAGTTCTGATTACCAACAGCAGCAATTCAGGGAGAAGAAATCCCTCTTTCCACCCCCACTCAGAGAGCGTCACGAGCTCAGAAAGGACTTGTTCTCTGTCGGGCTCTCTGCTAGGTGGGGTCCTACACTGGTGAACAAAACACATGGCTCTGGGTGCCTGGGGATTCTGTGGGTGAAGCGTCCCCCTTTGTTTAGGTCATGGTCTTAGGTCCCAAGACTGAGTCCTGTATCAGGCTCCGGCTTAGTGGGGAGCCAGCTTCTCCCCCTCCTCCCTGCTCGTGCTCTCTCTCGCTCTCTCTGCCTCTCTCAAATAAGAAGAATCTTTAAAAAAACAAAACACCAAAAACACATGGTTCCTCTTCTCCTGGAAATGTTGACAATGGAGTATGACATTAAAGACATCTATAAATACAAACTGCATTGCGCAGTGTCATAAAGAGCGAGAACAAACAGGCCATTGGGAAGACAGGCCGAGAGACGATTTAGGTGACGGAGTCCGAGGACACCTCTCGGAGGAGGTGACATCCAGGGAAGTAGACCTGAGAGATGAGTAGGAGTTTCCCAGGTAAAGAGTGAATGAAAGAACATTCCAGGCAAAGACTTGAAGCAAAAGAGCTTGTTATGCTTAGAAAGTGTGGGATGTTGTAAGGGGAAAGGGGTAGAAAATGAGGCTGAGAGCCATGCAGGCCGTGTGAGGGTCTGACAAGCAGCATATTGTGCAAGCTGAAACCTATTGTTTGCACAGTGCAAAGTGGGACTGAGCCCGGGCTCCTCCAGCCTCTGGGGCGGGTGTGGGCACAGCTTTAACATGGAGGAGTAATGCCGATTCCTTTCCAGGATATTAGTGTTGCTTCTAAGAGAGTGAATCCCTTCAACACTCCGTCTGATAATTTTGCCTGGAATTTACCTCGTAAATACCCACAAGGTCTACTAGGATACATGCGACATCAGAAGGAGGTGAAGACAGTTGAAGGACGTTGACTGTGACCAAACGGGGACCAGGAGCTACGAGCACCACGTAACTGTCAGGGGCTGACAAGAGAGGCGTGTCGTGAGCACGACCCAAGTATGGAATTACGCTTGGTGCCGCGCTCTCAACTCCAGCACAGACCATATACCTTGTACACTGAGATTTAAACCACCGATTCAGGGCACCGCAGACCAGACTGGATTGGGACAGGGGACAAGGCTGGAGAGAATCAAATGAATGAATGCAGGTCAAGCCCTCCACAATGGTGCCTGACCGTCAGCACGCTGAGCTACCACTGTTATCTACAGTGATTTATTTTTTCTAAAACAGGTTTTCAAGTCAAAGAACACTTGGGGGAGTAACAAAACATTTGGATAAACAAGTTGGCTATGTTGGTTGTGTATTACCAAAATGACCAATGTACAAGAGTTTCACAGTGGAGAAGGCGAAATTAAAACAGTAAGTGTAGTATGCAGTAAGACCCAGATTTTTAAGAAATGTTGCAAGAAGGGAATGTCCTTTGTAAATATTTACCCTATAACAATGTTAGGTTACGACGGGCCTCAGCAATACAACACAGCTGCAACTGTTTTGGGAACCCCCAGGAGGAAGCTGGTGCCACGTGACCAGCCACCGGAGCCTCCTCACAGGGAGCCAAAGTCAGCGGCTGCCCAAAGGAGTAAGTGTCCCTGCACCGATAGATGGACCCTCTTGTCCTCGCTGGGTTCCTAACCTGTCTCTGTAGGACCCCAGCACACATCTAAAAGTGCTTTAGCGGACCGACCTTTGCTTTTCCCCCGACAATATCCCCCACTCCAGTGTTCCTTCCAGTTTTAAAGCCCCAGCGAGTCTACAGAAAACAAAGGACAGAGAATGATGAGTTGGGTGAGCCGAGTACCAAAAAGTAACGCAACCAAAGCAAATGCCCTGCCCAGACAGTACAGAATAAATTCATTCCCCAGAATGGGCTGCTGACATATAGGCCGAGTCCCGGATCTCAGAGCACAGTGGTGAGGACAACAAGAAACGTTTCCTGGTGGGTAGAGCAAGCACGAGACTTCCTGAATGAACAAGCAAGCTTGCTGATCTCGACTCGCACATCCCACCTGCCGAGGAGAGCTGGGTGCGGATCCGCCCATACCCGGGATCTTCGGTGGGGATGAAAAACCATCTTTGAGAAAGGGATCTAGACAGTTCAACACCCACGGGGTCTTAAGGAGGATGGAGGAGGAGCCTGGGAGGGAGTAAATGGATCCAGAAATACAGACGTTAAGAACAACAGTCACTCTGATGGCTTTATTAAAATGTCGGTCACAGCTCTCTTTACAAAACCACCAGGTCCCCAGAAAGTCATTCGGCAAGTATCAAGGCCTTCTATCGGCAGGAAGCGCGTCCAGAAAGGCAGGTCATCCATGCTCCTGTTTCTTAATACAACTCCAAAGTATTTAAAATTCTGGAAGCTTCATTCACCCAGCATTTCAGTAGCACTGCAATTCTGACTTAGCATTGTGCTTATAATGCTGTGTCTTTGTTCACACGAGCAAAAGCCCATCGTTCTCCTCTCTCTTAGGTGCCCACAGCTCACAGGGTTTAGACAGAGATTTATATAAACCAGTTTTGACCGGCAAAGAGGTAAAAAGTGTTAGGGAAACAAACCAGTATAGTAGTCAAAGTTACAATACATTTAATCCACTATTTTTAAAAGTGTAGACGGGAGTGTGGGATCGCTTTCATGAAAGAAACGTACGCACTGTGCCCTTGACTGCGCCCCGACAGATAGGACACCTTCTCAGAGACGGGGCGCACTCCTGACACACGACCAGGTGGCCACAGGGAATGAACACGACGGACACCTCCTTGTCCATGCACACTTTGCACGTCCTCTCCTCCTGCAGCCGCCGCAGCTGCTCCTCCACAGGTAAATCTGGCAAGAGGGAAGAATTTTTTATTTTTAAAGATTTTATTTATTTATTTGACAGACAGAGATCACGAGCAGGCAGAGAGGCAGAGAGAGAGGAGGAAGCAGGCTCCCTGCTGAGCAGAGAGCCCAATTCGAGGCTCGATCCCAGGACCCTGGGATCATGACCTGAGCCAAAGGCAGAGGCTTAACCCACTGAGCCACCCAGGCGCCCCAAGAGGGAAAAAGTTTTGACAAAAGGCAACTTGCTCCTCCAATGAAAAGCTGAGAAAACAAAACCCATGATTTCTATGGGTTTAAATTATGAGTACTATGTTACCTGAGAGATTTTCTGGGGGAATATACTTTAGGTCTTGTTGCACTAGGGGAGAAACACAAAAGGGCATTATTAGTAATAAGTACGGTTAATATTTAGCCACAACGTATCCATTTTTAAGCGAACCGCTCAGACTCGGGCCAAATGCTATCAACAGTTGCCACAACGTCAAGGGCAACACAACTCTTTCATCTTGTGGCACAAGCTTATACATTAGACTGAATCATTTCCAGGAATCCCAAAGTATTGCTAAAAGCCTATTTTCTTTTTTTAAATTGAATTTAAGAATTCAATTTAAATTTGAATTTGACCTGAATTTTAAGTACCCGTGAGTTAACACACGGTGTAATACCCGTTGCAGGCATGCAGAATTGGGATTTGACACTTCCGCGCCCTGCCCGTCGCTGGTCACATTACCAGTGTGTTTCCAACTAACTAGCAAGTTCCCCAGAGTCATCGAGCAGCACTCACCAAAGATACGCTTGTATAGCACAGGGTCCACTTCTTGCAGAGAGTTTTTAAACACGGTGGCGGCCGAGCTGCCCCTCCCTAACACGGTGTCGAGCAGCTCCCTCGCCTGCAGAGGCGTCCGCGCCTTCTGCTCCAGCACCCCGCGCTCGTGCTCACTGATCACTCCGGCTGTCAGCAGGCTGTCCAGGATCGGGGGCACCTGAGTCAAACACTGGAGAAGCACCGTTCGGTTCTTCCGGATCAACGCTGCATCATCTTTAGAAAACAGAAAACACAGACACGTTCCAGCTCCGCTCAGACCTCCTTCCACACGGACACACGACTGAAGTCATGCCCTGTTCGCACCGCAGGGGACTGCTGGGCCTGGGGGTCCCTGCTGCCCGGTCTCGGGACCTGCACCCTGTGAGGGCAGCCCTGCGTGTCACGGGTCGCCTCCGTTCGTGCTCCCAGCAGCGCCCGCGGGAGGTGCCGGTGCCCCCACCTGGCAGCGGACAAAGAGAAAGCAAGACATGCTGCGGGATGCGCAGGGATCGGGAACGGTGGCAGACTGGCCTCTGGCCACCTCCCGCGGACTCCGCACAGCCACTCAGCCCCTCACCGAATCCAGTTCAGAACCTAAGAACACTGAAATTCCAGTCCAATTGGAAAGACAGAAGAGATTAAAATGACAGAATGTTTATTTCTTAAATTATCGTTCACCTGGGAAATATCTCCAAAATTCCCTGCTGGGATAGTTTTAATTATTTCCCCAAATTAGACATGATACTGCCATTACCCAAATCTTTTATAGTAAGTGGGGAAAGACACTAACAGCCTTCTAAAAATTAAATCGTACTTGTCAATGATACCATCCTGCCTATAGGATCATTCTGTTCTCTGTTGAGATCCAGGTTCTGTATCTATCGATGTAGTATTTTATATTTTGAAATTCTTCAATTTTATTATCCCCTTGGAATACACCTTGTGAATCTAAGTTTAGTCATTACTACACAATTTTACCATGATCCATTCGGCTCTTTCTATAAAATAACCAATGACAGAAGTTGGGCTGTCTAAAAAATTATTTGAGGGAAGAGAACTGTTGGATTTTAGAAACACTGACTCTAACAAGTAATAGGACATAAAAATAGAACCATTCAAGGGGCGCCTGGGTGGCTCAGTGGGTTAAAGCCTCTGCCTTCGGCTCAGGTCGTGGTCTCAGGGTCCTGGGATCGAGTCCTGAATCAGGCTCTCTCCTCAGCAGGGAGCCTGCTTCCTCCTCTCTCTCTGCCTGCCTCTCTGCCTACTTGTGATCTCTCTCTCTGTGTCAAATAAATAAATAAAACCTTTAAAAAAAATAGAACCATTCAATTAAAAACAGTGCTTAGTAAAAGAGTCAAGGCCAGAGAGACCCATTCTGAAGGTCACTGGAGCTCTGGGCATAACCGGGAAAGAGGACGCGGGCCTAGCACAGTGTCTGGCACTAAGCGCACGCTCCATCCACACCTGAGGGACAGCCAGGCAGGCAAGTCTTAGTGATCCAGACAGCAGCGGGGACAGAGACGTCACGGCCGGGGGGCTAAGATTAGCACCTAATCCACTTGGTGAAATCATCTGGTGCGGAGGTAGTGATACCCCAGAAAATTAACGTAGAATTCATACCTCATGTTGACATATATTCATTCTTCCATCTAAGATTTCTGGTCCTTTTTTAAAAAGATTTATTAGAGAGAGAGAACAGGGGTGAGGCGAGGAGGAGGCTGATGGGCAGAGGGACGAGAAGACTCCCGACGCAGCGCAGAGCCCAACACGGGGCTGGATCTCACCACCCTGAGACTGGGGCCGGAGCTGAAATCAATCATCAGATGCTCAGCTGACCGAGGGACCCATGTGCCCCTAAGGTTCACTTCTCTATTTCACTTAGACTAATGTAACAAGTTTTCTGAAATTTTAAGACTTCTTTCTTTTTGATATTTTATGTATTTATTGGTCAGAGAGAGAGAGAAGGCACAAGCCACGGGAGCAGCAGGCAGACAGAGGAACAGGTTCCCCACCGAGCAGGGAGCCCGATGTGGGGCTTCATCCCAGGATCCTGGGATCATGACCTGAGCCGAAGGCAGACGCTTCACCAACTGAGCCACCCAGGCACCGCAAGATTTCTAAAATTGTATTGCTAGTGGTTGAGGAAAAAAGACTCATTTCAAAGGGGTAGACTGTCTTCTGGTTTCTAAGAGGTAAAGACTTAAATACACCTTTGAAGTCTATTTATTATTCTTTCGCTCTGGAAGTAATATCCCAAATTGTCTCTTTATTTACACACCTGTCAAGAAATTACTTATCTACTGTTTTTGGGAAATTGTAAAGTCCTCAGTAACCTAAATGGAAATACTTTCATCTGCTCATTCCAACAGTCTCTCTGAGCACAGAGCACATGCAGCCAGCGCTGGGCAGCGCACACAGCACAGACAGTGGAGACGCTACGAGATCTGATGATGCAAATTATAGTATATTGTCGACAGCGGTCATCTCAGCACACTGGTGATTTTCTTTGAAAGAAACACAGAGGTTTCACAGCTGGCCTCCACAAACAGTTGTGGAGGGGGGCGTTCTCATCTTTGGAAGATGACCACCAGCTAAGACGGAGACGACCCCTGCAAGGACGGGCACCGCTGCGGGGCTGGTGGTTTGCGGAACCGAGGAAGTCACACTTTAGTAAAGGCAGGATCAGATGTACTCGCCCAGGCTGGCCAGAAGACAAACCCTCCTACGGAGCAGACTTCGTGAAGCCTGGTGGACAACCTTCCAATCACCCGGGGCAGAAAGAGATTCCAGATCATGCTGGACAACCACGAGGGGCAGACCCTTTTCCCTTTCTGGGCTGTGGGCGTACCCAGGGGCAAAAGCTCTCCTAAGGGAAAACACCTGGGACTCTCCGAGTCATTTATGTAAAACGGCCAGAGCTACACAGCGGTGAGCCTGAGCAGAAGCTGGACTGAGAGACTCATGAGGACGGGCTCAGGGACACAAGAGAGTCCAAGAGCTGTAGTTGCCGACTGCCATCGGTGAAAGACCGTGCTTCCGGGACCCCGAGACCTCTAGTAAGAGCTCGTGGAAAGCTGCAGTCTGCTTCTAATGCTGGAAAGACTTCTGGGTCTGGTCCACGCTTGGCAAAGGGCAGCAGAGCAGAGATGAACACCTCTGCCTGTCGGGGTCCGAGTGTGGACGGCATTCAGAGTGGCCAGATGGGAAGGGACGTGCTTGGGGGAAGACAGCGTCTGTCAAGGGCCGCAGAGCAGAGGCCGCAGGGCAGCCGACGAGGCAGCGAGGGGCGTGGCCACCCTGTCTTGAGAGAACACGCGCCGGTGTCCTCGCCCTCCCCTCCGGAACACAAGGGCCCCTGAGGGGGCTCCAGTCCCATGTGTGCAGGCAGGACACTCAATCACACTTCGTACATTACTGGATTATTAGTGCTGTGGTAGTGTCCCTGGGCTGAGATGCTCTGTGATGCGAGTACTAAAGGGACTGTCCCTGATCCCACTTCAATTTACGGGAGTGGGCGTGGGGTCACAAGTGGTGAGTGATTCCATACGTGGCCAACAGCCCAGAGCACAAGTAAAATCAAGAACGTGCTTTCACTCAACACACACATTTTCAATCAACTGATGGGCAATCCACATACACTGTAATGTAAAAACTTTCCAGAGTTCAAATTGAGAACACTGAACAGAACTGCCCTGAGTTTTCTGTGACTGACACACGGTAACATCGCACCCACATGGCGACATCACACCTGCAGTGACCTCACACCCGCACAGTGATGTCAGGCCCGCACGGTGACCTCACACCCGCAGTGACATCACACCCGCACGGGGACCTCACATGGCATGGTGACCTCACACCCGCACAGTGATGTCAGGCCCGCACAGGGGACGACACTGGTCAGTGTGGGTACGTACCCGAGTCTCTGTTCTCAGCAGCTCGCTCTTTCTCCTCTTCCCTGAGTTCGTCTTCCGCGTGCAGTAAGTCCGACACAATCTCGTTCACGGTTCTGTAATTCTCCCCAGTGCTCAGGATCTTACTCTGCACGGTCTGCCTCACCAGACTCCTGCTGAAGCCCATCTCCAAGGCGGCCGTCACCACGGGCGTGTTCATCATGACCGCGTCTTCTGAACGGATTTCTCCAGGTCCGAAATGGACAACTACAAGAAATAAAGGATTTCGCCATGCTGGGAGAGTCTGTATATCTTTTGAATTGAAAGTTATTACAGTTTCAAGAACATAAAGCCCAAAAAACATATGGGCATTGTTTTATATTAACTTTACTGAAGTTAAAACCACGATGTACGTGTCCAGTCACTAAAATAAGAACATGGAAAATTGTACTGCCATACAAAATATGCATTATTGGGCATAACTATGAGTGGGAGGAAGAGGATGTCGGGGATCCCCGTCCACTGAACATTCTTTACTCCCTACAACGAATGAACAAATGAGCTTTCTAAGTCCCGTATGTTTTCCGCGTTTTTCAAAGAGGTCACTGTCCTCACTCACCCCACCCCTGTGGGCCTCCCTGAGCGCCTCTCCTGTCTAGTGCCTTCTCAGCAGTGCCACCAGAGTGTCTTTTCATAAACACAAACCCAGCTGTGTCACCCTCCTTCAGAAATCCCAGCAACAATCCCACTGCTCCACAGACGCTCCACTGTGGCTCACAAGAGGCCGCCCATCCGGGCCCCGCTGGCCTCTTCAGTCTCATCACTTGCCACTTTCTCATTCCCAGGCGACACTCTAGCCCAGAAGCCACAGACGGATGGCGCACGGGTCACGCCCGGCCTCGCCGATGGCTCCGAGCGTGGGCCTGCCTCCTCCATCTGCCTGTTCACAAATCCCACTCTGGCCGTATGGAATTTTATTCAGTTCTGCAAACATCCCTGTTTTGTTTTTGTCACTTAAGCCTTCCATGCACTGTTCTCTCTGCCTAGAATATTCTTTTTCTCCCTTTGTCACCTGCTTAACTCCTACCCTTCCCTTCGATTCTGTGCCAAGGCAAATATGTCCTCTGGAAAGCCTTTCTCATCTCCCAACATCGGGCGCACAGCCCCTCAGGGGCTCCCACAGCACAGCACCCTTTACTTTTCCAACCATATCCCTTCCTCCTACCTGCGTCCTTGTCTGTACCCCCTGGACTGTTCGCTCACGAGAGCAAGGGTTCTGTTTACCCTGTTCCGGGTTCTTTCCTCAGAGGACCAGACAAAATATTTACTGAACTGAATTAAACCCTAGAGCATGGAGTAGAACAGCTTGTTCAAATCCTGGCTCTGTCACCGTTTAGGGTTAGTCTCAAAAGACAGGACATTTAGCCTCTCTGAGCCACAGGGTCCCTGCTGAGGAATGGGAGTAATATTTTCCACCCTTTTCATGTTAAAGAAGGAGTATGTGACCGATCGCATGTCATCACGCCCGTGTCCCCACAGGGTCCCCACAGGGGCGAGGCTGGGTGCCTGGTGTCTATTAGACCTACAGACACTCACGTCCCGCCATTAGATGACACCACTCAGCACGGCAGGTTCACAGTGGAGACCAGAAATCCGGTTCCTTACGCAAGTACGATGCATGTTAAAGTTTGAGAAACACCCGCTTAATGCACGGAGAGTGCATAACACAGAGCGTCGTACGATACACCTTGTGACCGTTACCAGCTTTCAATCTCCACAGTACCTGCGGTTCTGTTTAAACGCAATAATTACCGTCAGTATACGCACTTGGTAATTCAGCATCTTCATCTTCTGTGTTGTCTGAAGTAGATAACAGCTACAGGGGGAAAGTTTATAAATTAAAATACAAGTCTTAGCCTGTTACGATATAAATGAGTCAAGAGATCTATTTTATTCAACTTATTGCAAATTGACGTGCTTGTAGGCAAAATGATTTTGTTATCTTGAAAGCAATGTATCATTGACATTCAAGAGCTATTCTCGACACCAGAAACTCTTCTTCATGGACTCTACATTCATGACGGCGATAAAAGTGCCCCACCTTCCAGTGAGCTAGGAGACAACGGCTGTTTGCACTTCATCCCCAGCACCTTACATTTCCTGGGTCATCGTTTGGGGTAAGTTGGATCCTACAGCAGTTCTACCGGCTGTGGCTAAAAAGGGTTTGACCCTCAAACTATTATATAGGCGCTTATCTGCTTTTCCAAGATTATTTTCCATTCAGCACTTTGACTCTCTCCTGCCACACCCTTCTGGCCTGCCAAATTTCTGCTGAAAAACCTCTGCTAGGCTTACGGGGTTTCCCTTATACATAACCTTCTTTTTCCACCTTGCTTTTTAGATTCTCTCTTTATCATTACTTTTTGCGACTTTAATTACTGTGTGTCTTAGTGTGGACCTCCTTGGGTTTATTTTGTTGGGGGCTCTCTCTGCCCTCTGGATCTGGGTATCTGTTTCCTTCCCCAGATTCAGGAAGTTTTCAACTATTAATTCATCAAATAAATTTTCTGCCCCCTTTTCTCTCTTTTCTTCTTCTGAGATCCGTATTATGCGAGTATTTTTATGCTTGATGGAATCAATGAATTCCCTAAGTCTATTCCCATTTTGCATAATTTTTTTTCTCTCTCCTGCTCAGCTTGGTAATTGTCCATTACTCTGTCTTCTAGTTCATCAATTCATTGTTCCACTTCTTCCTGCCTGCTGTTCAATTCATCAAGAGTGTTTCTTGGGGCTCCTGCATGGCTCAGTCATTATGCGTCTGCCTTCGGCTCAGGTCATGATCTCAGGGTCCTGGGATCCAGCCCCGCATCAGGCTCCCTGTTTGGCAGGTACCCTGCTTTTCCCTCTCCCACTCCCCCTGCTTGTGTTCCCTCTCTCGCTGTCTCTCTAACAAATAAATAAATGTTTAAAAAAATTAAAACTTTTTTTTAAAAAGAGTGTTTCTCACTCATATCTGCTGTGTTACTCTTTACCTCTGTTACAGGCCTACTCACCTTTTCTCAAGTCCAGTGAGCTCCCTTCTGATCACTGCTTTAAATTCTCCATTGGGCATGTTACCTACATCTGATTCCCCTGGGTCTCCTGGCGCGATTTTTTTCTGTTCTCTCATTGGGGTGTACTCCTGTCTCCTCACTGTGTCTAACTCTGTGTGTGAGCAAAGACAGCTCCATCTTCTGCTCCTGAGAGCAGTGGTCGTGTGAAGAGGTGGTCCTGTGGTCCCCTGCAGTGTCACGGCCCCCACTCCCCAGCAGCCAGCACTTCAGGGCTGTCTCCCAAGTGTGCGGTGCGTGTCCTGCTGCTGTGGCTGAGCCACTTTTGCCTTCAGTGCAGGCGTCTGCAGGGGCTGTCTTGGTCTGTTGTGGGCAGGATTTCGTCCCTGAGTCATTTGTGGACCAGTCTGGGGTCACCTTGGGTTTGAGCTCAGTGAGACCAGAGATGCCGTAGCCCGGAACCACAGGGCACCGTCTCTGTGTTGTTCCTGAGAAGCTTTCACCGGTGGGCGGGGCCTGCAGGCCAATCAGCGTCTGTTCCCAGCCCACTGCCGGGGACACGGGGGGAGCTGGGACGGGGTGCTGGCCCGTTGGGTTGCCTGCACGCTGCCAGGCTCGTGGCCCTGGTTTGTAGGAGCTCTGACCAAGAATGCCTCAGATGGAGTGGATCCACAAAGTACCTGGTGTTGGCAAGGTTCGTGCCCATCTTCTGGTAGGAGGGCGGCTGGCCCAGGGGAGGAGGTGGTGTGGTGTAAGCAAGGGAGGCAGTGAGAGTCAGCACCATCCTGGTTCCCACAGGAGGCCGTGTGTTTACTCGGAGGGGTAGAGGCAGGGAGCGGTGCTGGCTCTTGCTGCCCTCAGGGACCTCCGAGACCACGAGGAACTCTGCCTCCCATGGCCCAGGTGTGTTCTTCAATCTGCTGCTTCTCACCCTGCGTTTCCATGGGCTGTTTCTCGTGCTGTGTCTCTAAGGGCAGGGACTCCGTTTCCTCTCACCCACCAGCTGCCCCAGAGCCAAGCCTGGCGATTTTTAAAAATACCAGTTTTCAGTCCTGCTGGTTGTAAAAACTCACAAAATTCGGCCCCTCTGGTCTTCAAAGCTAAATGTCATGGGGATTCGTCTTCCCTGGGGGGGCTCCCCGGCATGTGGGTGTATCTCTCCCCCTCCGAGCTGTGGCTCCCTCCCGCAGGTGGACACAGTCTCCGCCCTTCCCGCCCTCTTCCCTGTGGCCTGCTCTCCACAGTTGGCTGTGTAGAGTCTGCTCTGCCAGTCCCCAGGTCATTTTCTGGGTTATCTATGCTGACGGGGGCATTATCTAGTTGTATCCATGGGACGGGCAAGGTGAGCCTAGGGTCCTCCTGCTCTGCCATCTTCTCAGCAATCTCCTTCCAGGAAGATCAGAAGGAGCAATAATATTCTTTCTCAAGTCTTTTAAACAAAAATTAGTATTTTAAATGCTACCATCCTAGCCAATGTTTTCCTCAAATAATTTAACTGATTGTGACTTTATTATAGCAATACTTGGGGCCATACCTTAAATATTATTTTTCAGGAAGTCTCTAATTCTGAATATATTTTTATCCAAAGAATAATTCTAAGATCATGTTGAGTATTTTTTTAAAACGGGATGTACTTTTAAAGCCACTCTTGTCTTTTCACTAAAGTACTGCACTCTGTAATTTTCAGAAAATAATTTATCTGTTGTTAACCAATGATCTAAAAAAGCCATCCCTACCTGTTCGAGTAGATGAGGGTAACTGGCTTGAATCCGACTGATGAAGTCCTGTCCTTTGATGCGTATCAGGTACTCGCACCTAAAATGTAAATAACATTAAACTTGGGGGTTATTTTAACCCCACCGTTTGTAGCCTGTTCAATATTTCCGCTGACTGTGGACAGACATGGAACCACCTGACACCCATTTCGCCTCCCACAGCAGAGGCGAGACGCCGTAAGCGAGGCAGGTTGCACGGGGCTCCCAGTGCCCCGGGGCCAGGCAGGCTGTCCCGCTCCGAGCTCCCAGCAGCTCTCCCAAAGTTCGAGGAAGGCTACCCACGGTCCGCACACTGAGAAGAGAGCCAAGGGGACAGGTAGGAAGCTCTCTCACGGACGACCCTGCTCATGCACAGGTTTGTCGTTAGAAAGTTCACAACATATGAAGAGGGACAAGGGAAGTAACGAGGAAGGTGAACGCGTCTCCTGGTGAGTCCGATCCTCGCGAATCTGGCAATTCCTAGACAGCACACGTCGCGGTCCGACTCAAGCACAAGACGACCCCTCACCCTACCAAAGCGAACCCGCCCTTCGTCTCGTACGCTCGCAAAACGGCCACCGTGAAAGGCTAGCAGCACTGCTCAAAAACCCGTGGGTAAGGTATTCTCAATCTCTGTAACTTCTGAAATCTGAAACATCTGGGCGTGTAAAGGGCCACAGATGACAGCATCACACTAAACACAGGAGGAAGGTAAGTCATTATGAGCTTAGTAAGCGACACGAAAATCACGAAGAGTTTTGAGCCTGGAAACCATAATCATAAATCACCTCGTCTCAGTGAGAAGAGGAGAGTGTGAATCAGGACGGAATGGTCAGAAGCACAGGAATGGACGACCAAGGGATCTGTCGTGACAAAAACACACGTGCTGGGTCCCTCTTTACCCTGACACCCGATTTAACATCGCGACTTGGCTCTGATTCTTCTTGCCCAGCTGTTTTCTCTATCCATGGAAACTACCATCTTCTGACATGCTACATAACTCATTTATTAAGTTGGTTTTTTTAAGATTTTATTTATTTACTTGAGAGAGAGAGAGAGAGAGCGAGCATGAGAGGGGAGAAGGTCAGAGGGAGAAGCAGACTCCCTGTGGAGCTGGGAGCCTGATGCGGGACTCGATCCCGGGACTCCAGGATCATGAGCTGAGCCAAAGGTGGACACTTAACCAACTGAGCCACCCACATGCCCTAGTAAGTTGTTAACTGTCTGCCTCTCCCACTATTAAATTAATGTACGAGACCAAGGGTCTTAGTTTCGTTCAGCTGAGTATTTTGACCACGGAGACAGTGCCTGGCAACAAACAACTGATTAATACTAAATATCGAAAGAATGGAAATATATCCGAGACATAAGATTGACTGAAAAAGATTTCAAAACAGCATCTATAACACCTAATTCATCTAGTATTATATACATTTATCTGTATATGTATACATGCGTGAAAAAATGTCTGCAGAGATATTCACTAAAATGCTAACTGATCCTCTTTATTTTCTTTCAAATGCTAAAATAACTTCATTTTTTAAAAATTTAAATTCAATTAATTAACACATGGTGTATTACTGGCTTCAGAGGTAGAGATCAGTGGTTCATCAGCTGCATAGGGACACCCAGTGCACATCCCAGCACGTGCCCTCCATCATGCGCACCCCCCAGTGAACCCATCCCCCATCTCCCTCCCTTCCAGCAACCGTTTGTTTCCTTTAAGAGTCTCTTATGGTTCGTGTCCCTCTCTGATTCTGACTTATGATCCTCTGTTTTGTTTCTTAAATTCCACGTGAGTGAGATCATATGATAGCGGTCTTTCTCTGATTTATTCTACTCAGCATAATACCCTCTAGTTCTGTCCATGTCATTGCAAATGGCCAGATTTCCTTTTTATGGCTGAGTAATATTCCATTGTATGTTCGTGCCACACCTTCTTTATCCATTCATCAAAGGATCCTCTTGAGATAGTGAGACTTCTGGACACTTACATTTTTTTCTCTGTACGTTTCTACAAGGTATGATTTTGGTTTTTCTAATAAACATATATTATTTTAAAACATATATATTTTTTGATATATGCAAAAACACCCTATGCCTCTATCTTCCACTAAAACGGGTTATTTTTCTAAGTCATCTGTCCTAAATTATTTCAAAAGTGCCTTTTTGAAACAGAGTCAAGCAAGAGCTGATTCTAAGGGGATACGTTCAGCCCAGCTCACAACCACCACCACCATCTGCAAAGAGAGTTTCACAAGTTACCTTGGAAACCACTTGGCGTGCTCCACCCACGGGTCGTCTCCAGACTCCCAACACCGCAGTCCGCCGTCACAGCAAAAGCATTTGACGTCGTCACTGTGACCTAAAATTAGTTTTGGACCAAAACATGTGAATTCCTGTAAAGAGCCCACCCCGCCTGTGTAAGGTGTAGCCCAGGGGCGTCCTTACCCGTGTAGTAGAAGCCGGCGGTGGCGAGCTGCTCGGGATGCACGGGCACGCGGGAGGGCCAGCTGCAGAAGGTCTGCAGACGGGCCGCGTGGGCCTGCATGCTCGCGTTGGACACGGTGCTCTGCAGCGCGTCCTGGAGCTGCCGGTCCACGAACGGGCAGTCGGGGAAGTGTCTCAGGTGTTCGGACAGAGCGCTGTCGCTCGGCTCCCAGTTGCTCAGCTTCCCACCACAGGCGAAGCAGGCCACTCTGTCCCCGGGTCCCACATAGTAGAAGCCGGCTCGGGCCAGATCCTGCGCCGGCGGTGAGGTCAAGGGCCAGGTCTGGAAGGTGAGCAGCCTGTCCTCCGCAGTCTTCAGGGCTCCCTCGCAGGGGCTGGGCCTCTGGGGAGCAAACTCCCGATTCTCTCTGAAGTTTACGGGACTCGATGGGAAGCTGGTATAAGACCCGCTGAAAAAGCCCGTGGTCTCCAAGCTGGGCGGCAGCGGGCGTGTGGAGCTCGAGGCGAGAGGAGGCTGCGGGGGTGGACAGCGGCCTCCGGGCTCCGAGGCTGTGCTTAGACTCCGAACGAAGGCACAGCTGGGGTACAGCTTCCTGTGCTTCTCCACGGGACGGTCTCCCGGTTTCCAGTTGTCCAGCATGAGGCCGCAGCAGAAGCACCTGACCTTGTCGTTGATGCCAGTGTAGTAAAACCCCGCCCGCGCCAGGCTCCTCTCGGAGACGGGGACGCCGGCCGGGAACGTCGAGAACGTGGACATGCGGTACAGCTCGCACGAGTGGTCGTACCTCAGCTCAAGCGCGGGGGCGCTTTTCAGCAGGCCGGACAGGCAGAGGCTCTCCTGGACCAGGTCCATAGTGAAGGGGACAGGGAAGGAAAGGGACTAGCCTTTCTCGGGGGAGGTAGTTTTGTGCACGGCTCTTGGTTTGGGTTCATTTTGGTTCTGGGCGGGGCTCGACACGGGCACCTGTCTTGTCCTCCTGTCCGCGCGCTCCGTGTGTCGGCTCGCTGGCACTCTGCTTTCCACACGCACGCATTTCAAGGGACCATTATGGACACGGCCCCTTCACATAATCTTTACACCCACAGTGTAAGCGTGATGCCACACAGCTCCTCCTGAAGACAACCAAAACCCTTGGGGAAGGCACAGGGTGCTGTGGGGCATCAGAGGCTACTCTGCGCCCGGTCCCCCGGCACGGGGCAGCACGCAGCCAGCCCGCAGGTCAAACGCGGGATGTTCTCAGCTGACTTGTTTGCAGGGGAAACCGCGCTCAGTAAGTGCTCTACAGGAACTAAACTCAAACTAGGTTCATCTTGCTTTTTTTTTAATGACGAAATTTGGTAGCCAGAAAGAAAGAAAAAGGATAAGACCTACCTTAAAAGGAGAATGCACAGCCCTATTTCACTGATTCTGGATGCATCTTTTCAGCGTCTTTGTTATCGAGAGGTATCTCACAACTAATAACATCAGATTTTAATTAGCGGCATTTTTATTTCCCAAAAGTATTTAAATTGACAGTGTGTCCTACAATCAGTGACATCTCAGATGCCCTGAAATACAGCATATCCCAAATCTTGCTCAAATTAAATAATTTTTCTTTCTATAATAATTTTAATAGGGCACACAGAACGATGTAGAACTTTCCTACAACTGAGAGCTTAAATGGGAATAGAACTGGCTGATGGGTCTTAAGGCCGGTTTCAAAATTTATTAAATAAGAATCACTTCCCATAGTTAGGAACTTGGTCGCTGAATCACAGTGGTTCTATTTCAATTAAATTATCAGGATGGATGCATTCCTGACTGCCACCCATCGGAGGTCTCTCCTGCACATCTCTCTACTTTAGCAGAGGGCCGAGCGTTTACTCTCTGTTCTAGATAACTGCCACTCATTTTTAGATCTTTACCAAACACGAGTTCCTTTTTTCTATGCTGCACGGCAGCCAGGGGTCCAACAATGTGTTCCAGCAAAAATCACTTCCCCTTTATGCCCACAAGTCAGATTCAAATCAAGATTGTCATCACTTTAGGGTCAGAACTCACAGGACTAGATTCGGTCATATGAGCCAGGCTTTTTTAAATTAACACTCTTTGGACACCGAAAACTCCAGTTCACTACTGAATTTGTGTATTCATGCACAAAACTACCTCCCGGAGATCAGACTAAGTCCCTTTTAAGGGGTTTAGGCCTCCATTTTGAGATGTTTTGACGTATAAAAGAAACTGGAAAAAATCTAGAAGTCGAATAGTTTGCCTCTTTTGTAAAACCTGTTTTAAAAAAAGAAAGACAGTTTTCAAAGTCAAATAATTCATAGCTGTAACACAGTGCTCTCTTCAAACCTTTCCCCCAGCACAGAAGGCTGCTCATACAGGACTATGTGCCATGCCCACAAGGTCCTGCAGGACCGAGGAATCCTGGGGGGACCCACTGGCTCATGCTGGTGCTGGCAGGAGCACGAGGAGGTCCAACTCATGCTGGATTAGACCTCGGGTGCTTGACTCATTCCTGTAACTCGCTATTTTGAAATTTATACAGAGAAGAGTTACAGAAACAACAGAATTCCCACGCACATGGTGGGGACTCCCCTGGGGGAAGGGAAGGGGCAGAGGGAAAAGCAGACTCCCCACTGAGCAGGGAGCCCTATGTGGGGCTCGATCTCGGGACCCCGGGACCATGAGTGGAGCCTAAGGCAGACGCTTAACCGACTGAGCCACCCGGATGCCCCAGAATCACAGGTTTTCTTCTTTAATGTTGTAATTAATTACCAACATATTTTAAAAGTAAGAGACTTCCCATGACATTCTCGATCCCAAGCTCCTCTTGAAAAACCCGAAGGGCAACAGGGCAGTCCCCACACGGCGACAGGGAGCTGGCCGCGAGGGGAGGCGCCACTGTTCCCAGCAGGCATGCTGGCTCTGACATTCAGAGTGTCCAGGACATGTGTCACTGAACGGGCACCATGGTTCTTCTGACGAGGCCGTTATTAAGAAAGTGAAATTGTCCTAATACCTGTATCTGTCGAAAGTGACAGAAATGCAAAGTGGACCAAGAGAGACAAGTTGGGAAAAAAATGAAGGTGCCATATCTCTTCGTGGAAAAGGAGACTATTCCTACACGTTAAGATATGCACATAAAGTATGTTTTTGTTTAAAAGAGACGCCTGCCTCTGTCATTTATGCCGCCTGCCTGGCCTGTCTACACTCGAGGCCCTACACCCTGGCCCTGTGCTCCAGAAGCCCAGCGGTGCACACGAGGCCCACTGACTCCTGTGCACAGGCAGGCAATCATTTACCATCAGAGGACGAGAATACTCCAAGACGCCCATCCCGCATCCATTCAAACTCTCCAGCCGCTTCTGCACACAGACCTCCGAGAGCTCTGGGGGACGCCCGCCACCTCACGGGCTGGGGCCACCATCCCCGCACAGCTGTCCATGGCCCGAGGCAGCTCCCTAGCCCACTGTCCCCTGCAACCCTGAAGCCTTCGGATCCTTCCCAAAGTTCTCCCTGCTCCCCTTTGGAAGACTGCTTTGCCTTCTGTGTCCCTAAGAGACGTCACTGAGCAGTAACCCTTTCATGCCCCCAAATCCATGCCTTTCTCCCGCCTGCTGCATCAGAAATCCTGCCCCCAACCCCAGCCTCTCCCCTCCTCCTCTGTCACGATTCTTCCTTCGAGAGAGCAGGCACGCCGAAGTCTGTCTTGGTTTCCGAATGAGAACAGCAACGAAAGTCCTCTTTGAACCCCACTTTCCATTCTAGCAACTACAGTCGACTCAAACAATGCAGGGGTCGGGGTGCCCACAGCCCTCCCCACACTGTTGAAAATCTGATTCTGTTGACGCCCAAAAACTTTGTAATGAACTGTACTGGACTAAAGGTGTTACTGGTAACAGTCAATGAATGCGTATTTTGGATATTGTATGTATTATGTACTGTTTTTTACAAGAAAGTCAGCAAAAGAGAATGTTAAGAAAATGCATTTGCAGCGCTGTACCATACTGATCGAAACCGTATGCGTGTAAACGGACGTGAGAGGTTGGAACCCAGCTGTTCAAGGGTCAGCTGGGCGGTGTCTCACTTTCCCTTCACAGCCCGAGAATGCAAAAGTGTCTACAGCCGGGGCCTCCCAGAACAACTGGATTAGGCCAACATGCCTTAAACCACCGTCAGCATTAATAACACCAGAGCCTTCTTTCCCCAAACCTATGGAAATGTTTGCATCTGACGCTGGGGCCCACTTCCTCTTAGGAATGGCCCACCCCACGGGCACCTGGGGGAGCTCAGTGGGCGAAGCGTCTGCCTTCAGCTCAGGTCAGGATCTCGGGGTCCTGGGATCGAGCCCCATGTCAGGCTCCTTGCTCAGCAGGGAGCCTGCTTCTCTGTCTCACTCTGCCCCTCTCCCCACCCCCAGCTTGCTTGCTCTCTCTCACAAATAAATAAATAAATCTTAGAAAAAAATGTTCTCCTTCCTTGGCCTCTTGATGCCACTCGGGTTCCTGTCACCTTTCTAGCGGTTCCCCCTCTGAACCGCTCAAGGTCTCAGCCCCTTCTCTTCTCTTAGCAGCTCTGGCGGGTAACCTTCTGGATCCCAGGGCTGGTAGGTGTGTCCCCCCCCCGGGCCCCCCGCAGGCCCCCCGCCCCGGGGCCCCCCCCCCCCGTCCCGCCTCCCCCAGACCCTGAGGTTCTTCAGAGAGAAGCAGCTTTCGGCTCGCACCAGTCCTCCCACTGCCAACACCCGCGGGGCTCCGCCCAAAATGGAGAACAGGCTCCACAGCTGCCGAACAAGGGAAGGTCCCAGACGTGCCCCGCACCCTGTGACCACAACACACTCATTTGCACGGTATTAAGAACAGCAACTCTCCATTAGGGACTACAAAGTCTGCTGCCCCATGGCTTAATATCAGGGTCTGAAGTCACAGATCGTGGGTTTCCAGATCCCATGCAGGCCCCCGCAGCACGGGCGGAGACCTCCCTGAGCCCGAGCAAGCCCATTACCCACGGAGATGGCCACGGCACGTACTGCAACGCGGCCGCGAACGTGCTGCGAGGGTGTCCCTGCACACAGCGGCGCTTGGCGGCAGCGGGCCGGGACGACCACTGGCAAACCCAGATCGTCGGCGTCGGCCCGAGCCCCCAACCCCGGGCCACCAAGACCAACCGCACTGCCGGCGGCCCGAGCTGCCCCCCAGGACGGCGACCGCACATCTCCTCCGCGCCACCGCGCGCCAGCACTCGCTCCTCCACGGGGTCGTCTGGGGCGGACAGCTGGGAAGCGCAGGGGGCACGCGCCACCGCGCGCACCACCACCGGGCCCTGTGGGTCACCCCAGCCACGAGGGCCCCCCGCCCACGGGCTCACCGCCGGCCGGCGCGCGGGGGCACAGAGGCCAGGGGATCCCCGCAGCGACGCCTGGCCCTCCCGCCTCCCGGCCGACCCTCGCCCTCCGCCGCGCTCCCCCGTGGGCCGCACCCACGCCAGGCAGGTCCGCACACGCGCGCCCCGACGGCCCGTCACCCACCTGCCGCCGTGCGTGTCCTGGGGTGGCCGCGGGCGCCCTGCTCTCCGGGGCGGGCGGGAGGCCTACGCGGCTTTTAGCGGCCCCGCCGCCCCCATCCGTGCAGCCCGCGGCCGGTGCTTTCCTCGCAGGCCGTGGGGGAAGTCCGCGGCGGTAACCACACGCACTTCCCCTGGGCCGCGGCCTGGCGAGCTCCCCGGGGGATTTCCGCGACCCCGGGGGCGCCGCTGTGCCGGCCGCGGCCTTTCCGCCCGCGCGGCTGCGGCCCGGGTCACCGCGCCCCGCTTCCCGACAGCAGTGACGTGCGCGCGGCGGCCGGGGGCGCGGGGCGCAGGGCGCTCCGCCGGGGTCTTCCCTGGGCCCAGCACGGAGCCGACCCTCCGGCCGCGGGCACCGGAGCCTCGTCTCCGCGCGGCCGCTGTTCTGGAGCTGGGCGCCCGCTGCAAAGCCTGGTCCTCCGGCCTGCGGTCCGCCCCCGGGGCAGGTCTCCGCGCGGGCGGGGCTCTCGCTGGAGGCCCCGCCCCGCCCCGCCCCGCCCCGCCCCCCGCGCGCCGCCCCCCGCGCCCCGGCTCCAAGGGCCCCGCCAGGGCGGCGACCTGAGGCGCCGGCCGCCACCACCCCCCGCAGCCCCTCCTGCCGTTCCTCCGGGTCGCGGGAGCGCGCGCACCTCCGGGGCCACGCGGCCCGCAGCCCCGCGGTTAGGGCCCCCGCTGAACCCGGCCGGGATGACTGCGTCACAGGGTCAATCCTCCCCTGCGCCCGCTTCGTTCAAAGCGTGAAACCGAAAACCTCTTTTCCGAAAACCTCTCTGTGGGCCTTACACACGGCGGATCAAGCACCCGCCCAAAGAATTTTGAAAAACTCTTCTCCGCACATTTTTAACTTCACATTACAATGTTAGAAGCTGTCCCAGTTGCAAAGCAGACTAGCTGTTTCCGAAGGAAACTATGCAGCACTCTCCGCAGAGAATCCAGGGAAATGTCAATATCTAACCATTTAACGCCCAGCGTCGCCACAACACATCAGCTCACCTTCAGTAACTGCGAATATTGTACCATTGCCTTTCGTCCTGAACAATCTACTTCCCTCGCAATTTCATTTAATTTTAATTTTGATTCCAATATAGTTAACAAACAGCATTATATGACTTTCAGGTGCCCCCACAGAATTTTAATGTACGCTTACAAGAGATATCTCTATGCTCGTATTTCTGAAATAAATATGTGCATGAGCCAATTTAATTTTTTCCTGTGATCATAAAGCTCCAAGTGTTAAAAATGTCTCCCTGACTGCATCACTGATACACTAGTTTCAGTACATTACACAGTTGATCAAAACAATATAGATCATAAATACTGATAATTACTAAAGATAAAAAGCAAAATTCTACTACAAACGCAATCTTAATGGGGGTGTCAGCTCATATTTGAGCAGTTCAAACGTGTGTTTGTTGGTATTACCTATATTAGAGTATGACCGGTTCAGCACAGGTTCTGCTCCGTTTTTCCATAACCAAAGGTAAGTGTTGAAAAGCTTCTCTACGTAAGTAAATATAGATAGGACCAGAAAAATGTTTTTATGTCAATTTTTCACAATTTTCTGAACTTCTGTTTTATACCCCCCCTTAATATTTAACGATCTTTAATTGAAATTTGGTTATCAGGAGACCACTCAATTTTGTTGAAATCAGTGGCCTGGAAACCATGGGCCTTGTGTTGCCAGAGTTAGGAAACAAAAATACAGGTTATGGGGCACTTGGGTGGCTCAGTCGCTGAAGCTTCTGCCTTCGGCTCAGGTCATGATCCCGGGGTCCTGGGACTGA